CGCTCTCAGAGGGGAAAGCAGAGGCCAAGCACAAGCCAAGAAACCTGTGGCTGTTTACTGCCTGGGAGCCTACTCTTCAAAGATCCCTGGTGGTGATTGGGGCGTGGTCTTTTGTGGTACTGACAGGGCGGTGGACAGCTGAGTGTGTATCAACAGCCCGTTTGTTATCCCAACAGTGCCCCCTTCTCCTTCCTTTCTGACCTTGCTTGCGTCAGAGAGTAGGGCTTGGTGAGGTTCTGGGTGCCCCCAGGATGGTGGACATCCAACCTTATTGTTGGGGTTATAGGGGTTGGATCTTGGTCCTAATCTGTGCCTCCCCCTTCCTCCAGAGAAGGCTGGGGACTGTCTCCCTGGGGCCTTCATGAGCACTCCCAAAGCCATGCAAAGGAGACCCCTGCTCCTGTCTCTCTAGCTGGGAATTCTTGTTCATCAACCACCATGATTGCTTCACCCCTCAGAGCCTGGCTCCGGCCGGCACCTTTCCCTCCCATGGGCCTCTCCAGAATATCCTAACCAATGGTCAATGACCTTCCCTACTTAGGGCCAGACCATTGGTCCATCCAGTCTTCCCAATACTCCTCATCCACACACGACAGTATTTCTGTGGGACACTGCCCGTGCCGCCCTGTCCTTGGCCCTGGCCTGCTTTGACCTCTGCCTGACTCCTGTCTTTTGCTCACAAGTTTGCTCTGTCCATGTAGGTCCCAGCTCCAGTGCATTGTGGGACACCCTCTCTCAGGCTCACCACAGACACTCAGGCTGGTTTCAAGGGCTTGTTTGCTTGTAGCACTTCCTGTTTTCTGGAACCTTGTTAATCTTCCTCTGTCAGTCACCCACCCCCAAGTGGAATCCCTAACTGCAATTTGGACTGACAAATCGGAACTGAGGGTGCTGGAGAGACTGTGTCTAATGTGAGGAGGAGTCTCTAGGTCACCCTGGCTCCCTAGATGTGGGGGGCAGTCCTATCCTAGTTCTCATGTCTGCAGTGTTGGCCGCCTCATGGCCTTTTGCAGCTTGCAGTGGAGCTCCTCTTAGCTGGGGAGGTCATGAAAGTGACCTGTTAGACCCTTGGGGCCTGGTAAGAAGAGCTGGTGTGGAAGCCTTCACACTAATTCTCAACAGGGCTTTTCCTTGGCCAGTTCTCTGTAGCTTTGTGGCTGGTGGGTGACCCTGCTGTGAGGAGGAGAGAGGGGTAGGCTCCCACCTCTTCTGGCTCAGAGGTTGGCAGCTGCCAGGTTCCCAGGGGAGGATGCTGGTCACAGGGAGGACTTGAGAGCTGGATGGAGGAGAACTTAAATCCCAGTAGTGTTGTTGTTAGTCCCTTGGACTTGGGACAGGCGCCCCTCCCCCCAAGCCCTCTGCCTCAGTGTCCCTGCTTGTAGAATGAATCCAGCAGCAGCCACCTCACAGAAGGTTATTGTGAGGCCTCGTGGGATAGTACACACAGAACATTCAGGCCGGAGTAGCCAGCATGTCACACACACAGCAAACCAGGGCAGGTGTCATTAGCACCATCCAAAGGGGGTAGCTGGCCCACCTCCCCAAGGGTATGCTTCTGAGACTTGAGCTCTCATCTAGTAAGTGTCTGGGGGGGAGGGGGAGGGGGACTGGGCTGGAGCAGGGCTGGGAGTGAGAAACCTGAAGAAGGGCTCAAAACAGAGAGCCCTCAAGGCTTTGCCCCAGAGGTTGGTTCTGCTGGGTTGGAGGTCTCCCTGCCAGGTTGGTCTAGTCCTTTCCCAATCACTGTCAAGCTGATGAGCCCGGGCTCTCTTTTGGCTGGGGACTTGAGAGGTCCCTGTCTCCACCCACTGACCTAGCTGTATCTGTGTAAACATCTTAGGCTTCTTAGTGTCAGAGGTGAGGAGAGAATGGCTGCCATGACTCCCGAAGGCCCATGCTTTCTAAGCTTGCACCCCTGCATTTGGAGTAGCGATGTTCCAGGAAGCCTTACCGTATTTAACACCCACCCAAATGTCTAATTATCAAAACATAATACCAACCAATTAGCCATCCATCCATCCACCCATCCGTCCATCAGTCCATCAGTCCGTCCGTCTGTCCGTCCATCCATCCATCCATCCACCCACCAGCCTTCTAACACTCACCATTCACCTGTCCATCTACCACATATTCATGTTCTGCCCACCACCCCACCACCCACCAGCTCTCCACCCACGCTCCCACCATGCTTCACGTATCCATCCTGTCACCTACCATCCATTTGTCCTCTACACCCATCCATCATCCATCCACCTGCTCGACACAGATTTCTTGAATATCTTTGACCCAAGTTCTGAGCAGTGTATGTTGTCCAACTTTCTGGGGGGACTTTGTTTGTTTGGCAAGGCCTCACTATGTAGTTCTGGCTGTTCTAGAACTCACTCTGTAGACTGGGCTGGCCTCAAACTCACAGAGAGCCTTCTGCTTCTGCAGAGTGCTGCTCTGCAGAGTGCTGTGCTTGAAGGCGTGTGCCACCTCACCAGGCGTCTAGGGCTCTTGCAGAAGAACCTCTGAAACTATTTTGTCTCTGTAATTCTGTCTTTACCCCCCCCCCCGGTCTTTTTCCCCTCCTCTGTCCCCTCCC